GGAGAAAGCTGCCTCTCCAGCCCTCGCTCCAATGCCAAACAGCTCAGTTCTTCCCCATATGTCTCTGGTGCCTTTCAAGCTGCCTCCCCCACGCTGGAGCCTGGAGGGTGTGAGTCCATGTAAGTCCGTGCGCGGGCCTTTTAAGAGGAGCTGCCTGGGGCTCCAGCAGCCTCAGACTCCCTCAGCCTCAGTTCTCACTGGTTTTTCCAGCCAGAAGTTATGGGGACTTCTCTTCCTGGCACTGGAACCCTGAGCTGTGCATCTGTTGGGGGACGGGGACCCCTCAGTCCTCAGGGAGGACCTTCCCAGCCGAGGTGTCCTTCTAACTTTTTTCCACCACGTGTGGGTGTGGGACCAGCCCGTCCACCTCCACCCCTCCTACCAGTCTCAATGTGGCTTTTTCTTTAATTTTGTGGTTGTAGGACTTCCATTCAGCTTGATTTCAGGCAGTTTTGAATGATGGTTGTTCTGTAGTTTAGTTGTAACTTTGATGTGATTGTGGGAGGACGTGATACGGCGTTTACCTACACAGTCATCTTGACTGGAAGTCTGGCCTTTTTTTTTTTTTTAAAGATTCCACATAAAGGTGATAGTATGCAGTATTTGTCTTTCTCTGTGTGACTTATTACACTTAGAATAATGCCCTTACGTTCCATCCATGTTGTCACAAATGGCAGCATTTTCTTCTTTCTCATGGCCAAATAATATTCCATTGCATATATATGCCACACCTTCTTTATCCAATCATTCAACTGTGGACACTCAGATTGTTTCCATATCTTGGCTATTGTGCACAATGTTGCAATAAACATAGAGTGCAGATATCTCTTCAATATCTTGTTTTCATTTCCTCTGGTATATGCCCAAAAGTGGAATTGCTAGGTTATACTGAAGACTGATTTTTAATTTTTTGAGTAACCTCCACCCTACTTTCCATAGTGGCTGAACCAATTTCTATTCCCATCTTCAATGCACAAGGGTTCCCTTTTCTCCACATCCTTGCCAACACTTTTATCTCTTGTCTTCTTGATAATAGTCATTCTGAGTTTGATTTGCATTTTCCTGCTGTCTAGTGATATTGAGCATCTTTTCATGTGCCTATTAGCCATTTGTGTGTCCTTTTTGTAAAACTGTATATTGAGTTCCCAGTCTACTTTTTAATCTATTGTTTTTTTAATAGCTGGAGTTAGAGTACCAGCTTTATCCATATCAGCTAGACTCTTAACATGCATGCAAATTCCCGAGTCTCAATGCAGCTCCAAGTATTATGATACCTGTGATGGAGCCTGCAGGTCTGTACTCAACATAAAAGTTTCAGATAACTGGAATGCCACATTGAATTTTAGTTATCTCCACCAGTGTAAATATGACCCCCCTTCTCTAAACTTTTATGGCATTTTGTTTGTTTGTTTGTTTGTTTATTTATTTATTTATTTGTATTACAGATGTTTCTCCTTTTTCCCCCATTGACACCCTTCTCCCCCTCCCTCCCCACCCTGTCCCCAGCTTTGTTGTCCATGTCCATTGTTCATGCATACATGCATATCAGTTCTGTGGTTTATCTCCCCCCCCTCTCTTTGGGGGATTATCAGTGTGTACCCTACTTCCACCTCTCTGGGACTACCCTGTTCTTCAGACTGTTATGTTCATTATATCCACAAATAAGTGAGATCATATGATACTTGTCTTTCTCTGTTTGGTTTAATTCCCTTAGGATAATACTTTCCAGGTCCTTCCATGTTGTCTCAAAGGATAAGAGATCTTTCTTTCTTACAACTGCATAGTACTCCATTGTGTATATGTACCACAGCTTTTTTACCCATCCGTCTACTGATGAAGACATTATTTTTTTTGTTTGTTTTCCACCATTATTACAGCCCTTAACATGTTCTACCTATGTGTTGGTATATTTAGCAATGTGTATGTTCCCAGGAGTCATGAATTGTCTTTATTCCTTTTATTCTCCATAACATGTGCCACATATCTCATAGTAGACATTCAAAAACAGTCTTCTTGGTTTGTCTCATTGATTTTTTTTTTTTTTTATCCTCACCAGAGGATATTTTTCCATTTTTTTGTACAGATAGAGTAGGAAGGAGAGAGAGGAAGGGAGAGAGAGAGAGAAACATCGACATGAAGGGACACATCGAGTGGTTGCCACCCGCATGACCAACCAGGGCCGGGGACAAACTGCAACCAAGGTACGTGCCCTTAGCGGGAACTGAACCCGGGTCTCTCCGGACCGCAGGCCAACGCTCTAACCACTGAGCCAAACTGGCCAGGGCTGTCTCATTGATCTTTATCTCTCTCTCTCTCTCTCTCTCTCTCTCTCTCTCTCACACACACACACACACACACACACACCCAGAGAAGCAGAGAAGAGATTTGTTAAGTGACATCAGATATCTCACAGAAACCTGGAGGGCCTGAGAGGTAGGAAACTGGCAAGCGTTCAATCACAACCTCTCATCTTTGCCACTGCAACGGCGTTTGACACTTTATATCAGGGGATGTGCTGCTTGCATTTCTGGAAAACTGGTGCTATCCTCAATGTATCTGACAGATGAGAAGCCCTGGGAAACAGAGCGGCTCTTAGAGCTGCTCACTGCCACGGTCAGGTCTTCCGTGAATGGCTATGGGCAGAGGGACTGAGGTCATATGCCTTCCTCCCTGGTGAGGGAGGCATATACCTTATCCCTGCACAACCCGTATGTGGGGAAATCTCTCAATGGAGGGTCTCAAATACCTGGAGCAGCCACGGACAAAAACATGTAAAGTCTGTGGTTTAATATAAAATTCGTTTTCACCTAAGATGGTGCTCTTCCAGGTGCTCTTGTTTATGGAGACACATTGTGAGAGATTTCAGCTCTGGATTAGGATGTGACGGCCAGATGATACCACTGAAATGGGATCTAGGTTCAGGTGTTCTCTATCCAGTACAATTGCCTGAAATTCTTGGGACACTGGTGTTTTCCTCGGCACAATGACGATCTTCAACTACACTGTCCTTGAGATCTCTTTTTGCTCCGCATATTCTGCCCCTTGTTGATTGATGCCTGTTCCATGGAAGAGTTAATAATGCAGTTTCAATGGGAAAAAAAGACTGGGATACACACATTCGAGACCTTGAGGTATGCATTAACATCCACTCCAGCTCAGCCTGGGTGTGCTATCGTAAGTGTGACACATGAAAATATACAGGTCATACATGCACAGACCATGATGACAACAGGAGAAGAAGCGAGTCACGGAGGATTCTTCCCTGGGAAAGTGAACCTCGGCTGTTTAATCTGGTCACAGAGTCCCAGAAATATCACAAGCCTGGAGTGTGATTAACATTTTTAAAACAATATTTCTCTTTTTCTCCTTGTGATACCTCTTATGTTCAAATTTCTGCCCTCCCGTGCCTTTGCTGTGTCAACTGAAATCCCTTTGTCTGGTTGGTTTATAAATGTGTTACGTAGCACCTGAGTTGAGACTGTAGGTCCAATAACTTTGTCCTGTTGCTTATTGGTTGTAGGTTCATCTTTTGACCTCGAGGAAAGTTGCCAGGGACGCCCAATCAGCCAGTTGGAGAGAGTAAGTCAGTCACCCCAACAAAAACATAAAATAGGCAAACGTGTCCCCTGTAACCTCTGATGAGGAAGATAAAAAGGCTGCTAATGTGTAAAATGGCATTATGAAAAAAGCTGTTCTTTTAAAGAAAATAAAAGCTGTGAGCTTACTAAAACCCTTTGGTAGCATTATGATTGCTATACTATTTTGTATATATTTTTGCTATAACATTAGATTCTGGAATAAGCTTTTCTGTCAGTGAAATAAGAGGAGGGTACCAGATCAAATTTCCTGTGATAGACTATATTAAATAGAAATCATTAAATATTGATAATTCAATATTGGTGGAATAAAACATCAAAGAAGGAGTGACAGTCTCTAATGAAATAATGATACCTAATGAGATTTCCAGCTACTCATCTTCACTCTCTAGATAAAATACATTCTTTTTAACAATTACTGCCACAATTTTCCAGTGGCTAGTTCTCCATTATAATCTATGGCTATTTTTTTTTCCACTTAACCTGAGTAAGTGACTGTTAGAGTTCAGATCGATTTCAAGTGAATTTTCATCGGGCACCGAAGTGTCTAAGATGCTTCCATCCACCTCTACATCACATCATACACCAACTAACTTCTACTCTGCATGGCCCCCTTTCCTGTAAACTGGTGACCTCTCTTTTTGTTCTTTCTTGAAGGCACTTTAGTCTTCTGCATCACTGGTACAGCTGTATTTGGAAACAAGAAGGTCTGGGTTACTTGCTAATGCAGCTTACCTGTGCTGTCTCCTCCTACTCAAACTTTCTCCACGTTGTGCCGTTTCCACCCTATAGTGGATTGGTCCTGAGCCCGTCCTCTCCTGTGACTTGGTGTGTCCATCAGAGCCCATTCCTCATAGGCAGTTCTGTGCACATTTTCACACAGTGTTCTAGGCTCCAGCACTCTGTATCCACCAGGGCCACGTAACAGAGAGTGTAGGTTTATAAAAAACCACACAGTTCTTTAATGAGGACACCCAGGAGTCTGTGTGTGATTCCCCGACTAGAGCATTTTTTTTGCTTCACCCTGCATCTTTTGCTACCACTGACAGTTCTGATGTCAGAGAGTGTGGCAGATGATGTTGCCCAAGGGGCAGGGATACTTGCACTGAAATGGAGACCTGCTGCAGAAACCCCACATCATGCTGGCTGACTTCCACCAGCCATAGTGTCTCGGTCAGATTCATCATTCCCTGGAGTAGCTGTGTCCCTCTGTGGTAGGGGATAAAATGTGAAGCAATTTGTCATTGACTTTGTAGGACATGCCCCTGACTACTGGATGTCTACAGACTACACTGAAGTCATAGGTCCCTGAATTTTCATAGATGTGTCTCCCTCCCTTCACAGCAGGAGTTTTTCTGAGGCTCCCAGCATCTTAAGCACCTATAGTTTGTCTTGTCTAATTACCGTGATGTCATCAGTTAGTATGTAATGGATTAGTATGATATTCAGTAAGATGCCTAGGCCATCGAAGATCTTTTCAGAACGCGTCATGACTGAGGGTGGCAGATTTCACATGGCCTTGAGGCAAAACTGGAAATGCACAGTTTTCACCCATGTGGATGCAAGTCTTTCAGATTCCCTTATCTAATTGGAATCTAAAAAGAATGCATTTGCCAAATTAATTATTACATGGCATTTATGTAAGGTTGATTAATTTGTTCCAGCAATGACGGTTCAGTCTAGGTGCAACTGAGAGGCCTGTGATATTCTACAACCATCCTCCAAGCTCTCTGTATTTTCTGCAGGGATCAAAGTGTAGATGTAAATGATAGAGAATGAAAAGAACCAATACCCCTATATACTGTAGGTCTTTGGTGGTGGCATTAATCTCCACCATTTTTTGGGAATGCAATATTGTTTTTAATTTGTTATCTTATCCAGGGTTTGGAGCAGTTTCAGAGGTTACCACTTGGCCGTCCCCATCTATGATAGTCATTACCCCATTGACCAAAGACCCAATATGGAGATTTCTCCAACTGCCATGTATATCAAATCAAATTATATTATGGGACTGGAGACAGAGTCAATGAGTCCTCTGTGAATTAAATTTTAGCAAAATGTCCATTTAATCCTTTTTCTCCTAAGTCTTAACTTTAATAGAGAGGGGAAATTTGAAGCCCATTTGAATCTGCGGGCAGCATTACCAACTCAATCCCTTGAAAATTCTGATTATTATATTCTACCCAACATTCAGTCACTCCAGTAATGTCTGTATGTCTTTAGAGAAAGAACTGTGGGAATCATTAAAGTATATACCTGCTGCAGTATTGCCAAGGCCTTTATCCTAGGTACTTGACCACCTTTGCAGTCAGTGAATTATGAACCTAAAAGCAGGCTAATATCTAGGAAGTAAGCAAGTAATTTGGGGGATAGCAACTACCCTTAGTATCCTGATTCCTAATTCTTACTCTTTTTATGGCTTTGGACATTCCCCAGACCCTTCACAGACTGTACCATTTGGCTCCATGATATATTAACAAACAATCTCTGCTATTTTTTGCATATCAGGGTCCCTTGGCTGTTCCTCCAACCTTGCAGGTTGTAAGAGTAATTGTGGCTTCTGACTTCTAGTGGTTATGTATCAAAACCTGGCATCTTTTGGGATCCCATGCTTCCACTGATATTAATGTAACCAGGTGTGTGACCACTTCTATTATCATCTCTAGCCTATAGAAGAGAGCCACCACTAAACTTTTTGCGATGCTGGTATGTCTTTTACCATCCCATTTTGGACAGTCTTGGGGTACAGTGTGTCGTCTGGGCCCCACCTTTGGAACATAATCCTCTAACAGATCTGCTTGGCTTGCATAGTATAGCCAATATAATTATTCCAGAATTTTGGACACTAGGTTTTCCCTAGTGCACAAAAAAATCAGACACTGATGTTTGCATGAAAGACTGCCTTGGTTGGAGTCTCTGGAGATCTGGAGCTACGACTATCAGATTCTGCCTCTGCTGCTCAGCTACAACAGCTCATTTATGGCAGAAGGTAACAATGTCTTTGTAAGCTGTCAAAAGGCCCTCTGTCTCTTACACTTCTCTAATACTTGAATTTTTATTATCCTTCTGTGGGTCATCAATACTACTCACTCAGCTAGGCCGCTGTTGTTGTAGGCTCTTTTCCTTCCCACCGCTTTGAGCCTGAACATGGCAAACTGGCACAGATGTTTATCTCCACAGGGGTCTTTTCAGAGGTCATCATTTCAATAATATGTTTATAGCTGGGACCCAACCTTATGCTAGGCACTAGGCACCAGGACAAAAATGGACTCTTGTCTCTGTGACAGCTGGTAGCTTCAAGATTACCTTACCCTCACGAAATCTGGCCTCGAAAATTACATTGCACCCAGCTCAGTCATCCAAGATTTCTTTTTTTTCTTATCCTCACCTGAGGACATTTTTTCACTTTTTGTTCAGATAGAGTGGGAGGGAGAGAGAGGAACAGAGAGAGAGAAACATTGACATGAAAGGGATACATCTAGTGGCTGCCTCCCACACGACCAACCAGGGCCAGGGACAAACTTCAACCGAGGTACGCGCCCTTAGCGGGAACCAAACCTGGGTCTCTCTGGACCACAGGCCGACGCTCTAACCGCTGAGCCAAACCGGCCAGGGCCCAAGATTTCTTTAATGTATGGGTTTCTCTGATCTTCTTGTCTACCACATATTTGGGAATTAAATCTCATGGACATTGTTACATTTATGGAATTTGAGGACTTATTTTCACCTTATTCTTACCAGTTTACTTTTCTCACTTTTGATGGAGAATGACAAGTCAGTTACTTTGTTTAGTTAATAATGCATTGATAGCAGGCTATCAAATAAAGTCTTTACTAGAAAGAAAAATTGTTTATGGTTTATGAATGCTGGAAGACTTAAACTTCTTCATATTTGCTCTTCCAGACTTTGTGACTGTTAAGAGGTATATAAAATTGATAATTCACGGACATCTGTAAATATCATAACAATGTCTTGTTTTTGATAATTTTTAAAAACACAAATAAATCTATTTTTCTTGATAATGTTATAGTAATGATTAAAACATTTTATAGTTTATAGGTGCTCATCCATTTATTATTTACAAGGAATCAAATTAATTTCTTGTATTAGTTTTCTACTGATGAATAATTAATTAAAACGTATTGATTTAAAATAACAAGTATCATCTCACTGTTTTACACCCCAGGAATGTAGGTATTTCTCAACAGGAGGCCTCTGGCTCAAAGGCTCTCAGCAGATGTCAATCAAGCAGACCCTTTGCTCATTCAGAAGTTCTGCCGGGGGAAGTCTCCTTCCTACCACATTCAGGTGTTGGCAGGATTCAGTGCCTCATGAGCATTAGCCCTGTGGTGCAAACCTCAGGCTATAGCCCTCTGAACCTCAGCTTCTCAAGGAAGCTCTGTCACATTAACCTCTACAGAGGAACTCAGAACGAAGCAGCTCGCTGTGCTGGGAGAACAGTGAGTAGGGGATAGGCACCCAAATGGGAGCCACCCTCTTTTTATGACCAAAACTCTGAAATCCCATTACTTCCACTGGATTCTGGTCATTATAAGAGAGTCAACACATCTACCCCATACTCGGGGAGGACACAGCATAAGAAGATAAAATCAAGCAGAAGGGATTATTAGGGTCATCTAGGGGTTGCCTACCACATATCTCTCCAACCATTTTGGTAGAATATTTTTTTATATTTTGATGATGATGTATTGCATAGTAGAAAGCACATTATAATCACTTAAGACAGTGGTTCTCAACCTTCCTAATGCTGCGACCCTTCAATACAGTTCCTCATGCTATGGTGACCCCCATTTGTAAAATTATTTTTGTTGCTACTTCATAACTGTAATTTTGCTACTGTTATAAATCATAATGTAAATATCTGATATGCAGGATGTATTTTCATTGTTACAAATTGAATGGAATTAAAACATAGTGATTAATCATAAAAACTATGTAATTATATATTGTGAAATATTTATTTCTAATTATGAATACATGAAATTTAGTCTTGAAGCATGGTGTAGCATGGGTAACAGTCTTAATATAACAACAGTAAACTACATTGCCACATTTTGTGACAGTATGTGTAAAAAGCCAACATCAGCCAGGAGACTGCTGACCTGAGACTGTGACCTCTTAATCCCTCAAGGTCTCCTTTCTTTATTTGTAACAAGATGAGGGTGGACTAAGTAATTGGAGGGATCCCTCTGAGGTCCTGCCAGTTTCCTGGAAAGTGATTATAGTCTGCACCTATTTTCACAAAGAACACTTCCTAAAGACAATCCCTATAAAGAGAAATTCTTAACAACTAATCCTTATAATACTAACTGCACATAAGAGTTTGCCATTGTTTATTTCAGAAATTACCATATTACATTGATATGTTATCAGATATTTCAACACTGATAAGAAACATATCTAGTTGAGTGTGCTCTGTATATTATCAATATTTTATTTTTCCAGTGTTAAGAATAATTTCAGCCATCTGGATAATCTGGAAGAAAATGCTAAGATTTATAAATATATACTTATGAGATTTTATTATATTTTCTATTGTCTTTGATGTCTTCTTTATAGTCTATGGTAGATTTCATTGATGTGTGCATAATGGTACAGTAAAATGATGTTATACAGGATGAGGCAAAAGTAGGCTTACAGTTACTCATATGGAAAATAATATAATAATTAATGAATAATAATACAAGATTAAAGTCTGTGTTTTTTTGTACTCACAACTGTAAACCTCCCCTGTACATTAGAACATCAAATACATATTAGTTTCTCTATATTTTTTAAAATTAGGTACTTTTTTCTTTGTTTCAATAAAAATACACATATTCACTAAAACTGAAGTCTGATGTTACAGGACCTTTGGTTTTGTAGCAGAAATGGTTCTGTGGAAATCATGCAGATGCAGCTTTTATAATGTGCCTTCCGTTGTGATTCTTGTCCTTTGTGAAGTGCTGCTGCCATTCCATCGGAGATGTGTTCCTGAGGTATCTTTGGCAATGTCCTATGGGGCAAATATAGAGAATAATATAATCTGACACTTAAATAACCAGAAATGACTAAATAAATGTCCAAGTCACTAGGGGAAAGTCAAGGTCATAGACTCCGTGTTTCAGCTGGCAGAGAGGAGTGAATTACGCCCCTGAGATTCAGCTGTGTTCCATGAGCCAGAGCTTTACTTGCGTTAACATATTGACAGAGGACAAAGAAAGGTTTAATTAACTCAACAGCTAACCTCAAAAGTTTAAAAGAATCTACAACTGGACAAATACATATCGAGTCCATTATTTCTTTACAGTATGGGTCATTCATTTGTACCACAAATGTGGGGTGCCAACCATGTGACAGGATTTCATGGGGTTTACAGTCTAATTGGAGAAATGGCGATTAACAAAATTATTAAACAAATGATTGCACAAGTACAGACTTACATATGCTATGTGTCATGAGAGTATTTAAGAAGGGAATTTCAATCAGTG